TATTTTTATTTTTGAGAGCAAGCACACGTGAGTGGGGGAGGGACAGAGAGAGAGGGGAACAAAGGATCTGAAGCGGGTTCCATGCTGACTGCAGAGAGCCCAATGTGGGGCTCGAACTCACAAACTGCGAGATCATGACCTGAGCTGCAGTCGGACACTTAAATGACTGAGCCACCCAGAGGCCCCTGGGAGAAATTCTTGTAACAGTTACTTTGTTCTCAGCCTACCTGTAAGTTATTATTTTTATTTATTTCCACCATGTGTAGTGGCTTCCAGAGTTCAGACTGGGCTACCTCAGATCATCTCTGCGCTTGTTTTATGTGCCAGATAGAAAGCAGGGGAGACCCTGGCATGAAGTAGGAATTATTAGAGTCTGTAAACTCTCCATTGACTGTCTTGGGTTCACAGTTGTCAGTTCTAAAATTTTTCTATAATAATGCCTTCCCGCCCCCCATTTTTTAAATAAAATTGTTAATTTTGTTTTACTACTGGGGTTAATGACTTGATATCTTAATAACGAGTTTTTGAAGGAATAAAACCTCATTTTCTCATCGGGCCTGATAACATGAATGAAAGAAATGTCAAATTCTTTATAACTCATGCATGTGTGACTTTTGTTTTGAATCTTTATTTTTCTCCCTGATACAGGATTCTAGTATAATTGACTTCTACCCTGAAGATTTTGCTATTGATTTGAATGGGAAGAAATATGCATGGCAAGGTAAAATTTAGACATTATTCCTTTTTGTTAAAATAATTTTCTCCTTTTGGTAAACTGTAAGAAAACATGATTTGTGGGATGAAAGAATTTCTGTGAAAGAGAAATATTTTGGGACACCTGGGTGGCTTAGTCAGTTAAGCGTCCAACTTTGGCTCAGGTCATGAACTCACTCATGGGTTCGAGTCCCGTATCAGGCTCTGCACTGACAGTTTGAAGCCTGCTTGGGATTCTCTCTGTCTTCCTCTCTGCCCCTCCCCTATTCACGCTTTCTCTGTCTCTCAAAATAATAAAGTTTTTTTAAAAAGATAAATATTTTAGGGCGCCTGGGTGGCTCAGTTGGTTGAGTGTCCGACTTCAGTTCAGGTCATGATCTCACGGTTCATGAGTTCAAGCCCCGTGTCAGCCTCTGTGCTGACAGCTCAGAGTCTGGAGCCTGCTTCGGGTTCTGTGTCTCTGTCTCTCTCTACCCATTCCATGCTCATGCTCTGTCTCTCTCTGCCTCTCAAAAATAAAGAAACATAATAAAAAATAATTTTAAAAAGTAAATATTTTAAGAACTACACGGGACGCCTGGGTGGCGCATTCGGTTAAGCGTACGACTTCAGCCAGGTCACGATCTCGCGGTCCGGGAGTTCGAGCCCCGCGTCAGGCTCTGGAATGATGGCTCAGAGCCTGGAGCCTGTTTCCGATTCTGTGTCTCCCTCTTTCTCTGCCCCTCCCCCGTTCGTGCTCTGTCTCTCTCTGTCCCAAAAATAAATAAACGTTGAAAAAAAAAAAATTAAAAAAAAAAAAAAAAAAGAATTACATGTGAAAATTTCATTTTTTTCCATCCGACCTGGGATTATCAGTGATTAGTAGTAATTAGTAACATTCTGATAAACAGTAAATTAGACTGAAAGAGATTAATCATTCTGTCTTTTGTCTCTTTTGTGATTGATTAATGGGACTTGGGACTTGCTCCTAGTCTGTAGCTCATTGGCACCTTGTAAGATTGCTGACAAAAAAACATGGTTGTGTCCATGTGGAGATTCACTTATACCCCATGGAAATTTGAAGATGAAAAATGTATAAGAAATTTAGTTTTAAATACTTGACAGTAATCATTTCCTGTTTGTTTAGTTAGCTGTTATTTTCTCATTCCTTCTGTTTACAGTTTTTATAAGAATGTCAATTTTAAATTAGTACTACTAAATTTAAGGTGCTGTTTACCACTCAGCAAATGTGTGATGATGACTGAATGTAAAACACAATAAAGAATTCTGTCACACAGTAAGTCAACTATTATTTCATGCCAAAGCCCTTTTCAGCAATCATTTTAATCTTGTCTTCCCCCATATATTTTTCTAAGATAATCAGTTTGGTAAAGTTATGTGTTTACTTTTTCCTTGGTTATTTCCTCTGGTGCAGATGACCAATAACATGACTCAGAATTGTGAGACAAAGGGGTATTCATTTGAAAATCATTTTATGAGATTTTTAGGGTTGACTTTTGGTTTATGTAGTGAAAGACATTTCATTATTTCTTTAATGGAATGATAATGGGAAATGTAACCCATTGATTGAGGTTAGCAAGTATGCTCTGTGGTCATATTTTGTTATATGTAAATGGATTGGAGTCTTAGATTGTTTTTGAAGGTGCTTTGTGGAGAATGCTTTGATTACAGGGAGTGGAGGCATAGGAGAATAAAAGGGAGCGAAGTAAAAATATAAGTATATAAGTATACTTATGTAAATGTCAAGTAAGTAAGTATATAAGTGTGCAGATGTCTTGCTTTCTGTATATACCATTGTAGTATAAATCATCCGGAGGAAGAGTGAGGCAATGCACAATGGCTACAATTTCTTTACATCCCTGCTAACATTTGTTATTTTCTTTTCTTTATTCGGTAAATGGCTTTTACGTATTTAGGTATTTTTTATTGAAGTATAATTGACATATAATACCCTCTTTCAGGTGTACATCATGATGATTTGCTATTTTTATACATTATGAAATAATTCCCATGATTAAGTCTCATTACCGTCTGTCACCATACAAAGTTATTACAGTACTATTGAGTGTATTCCTATGCAGTATAACATACCCATGACTGACTTATAACTAGAAGCATATACCCCTCAATCCACTTCATCTAGTTTGCCTGCCCCCTCACCTGCTTTCCCCTCTGGTTACCAACAGTTTGTTTCCTATATCTATGAGTCTGTTGCTGTTTTGTTTTGTTTGCTCATTTGTTTGGGGTTTTTTTTTTTTTTTTTTTTTTTAGATTACACATATAAGTGAAATCATACAGTATTTGTCTTTCTCTGTTGGGACTTGTTTCATTTAGCATTATACCTTGTAGGTACATTGATGTTTTTGGAAATGGTAAGCTTTTATTCGTTTTTGTGACTAATATTTCATTGTATACATCTTCTTTACCCATTCGTCTAAGGACACTTGGGTTGCTTCCGTATCTTGGCTGTTGTAAATAATGCTGCAGTAAACAAAGGGGTGCATATATCTCTTCAGATTGGTGTTTTTGTTTTCTTTGGATCAATAGCCAGAAGTGGGAATTGCTGGACCATACATTCATTCTATTTTTAATTTTTGAGAAACCTTCATACTGTTTCCCATAGTGGCTGCACCAGTGTCCATTTCCACCGACAGTGTATGAGGGTTCCCTTTTCTCCACATTCTCACAAACACGTGTTATTTTCTTGTCTTTTTGATAATAGCCATTCTTAAAGATGTGAAGTGATATCTCATTGTGGTTTTGACTTGAATTTCCCTGATGATTAGTGATACTGAACACCTTTTTATGTGTCTGTTCGCCATCTGCATGCCTTTGGAAAAATATCTGTTCACATCTGCTCATTTTTTAATTGAGTTGGTTTTTTTGGTATTAAGTTGTACAAGTTCTTTATATATCTTAGATATCAACCCCTTACTGGATGTATGATTTGCAAATACCTTCTCCCATTCAGTAGGTTGTCTTTTCATTTTGTAGGTGGTATCCTTCGCTGAAACACAAGCTTTTTAGTTTGATGTGGTCCCCTTTGTTTAGTTTGGCTTTTGTTGCCCTTGCCTGAGGGCACTCGCCAAAAAAAAAAAAAAAAAAAAAAAAAAAAAAAAAAAAAAAAAAAATATTACTAAGACTGAAGTCAAGGAGCTTACGGTTTCTTCTAGGATTTTTTTTTTTTTTTTAATTTTAACTTACATCCAAGTTAGTTAGCATATAGTACAATAATGATCTCAGGAGTAGAATCCAGTGATTCATCCCCTACATATAGCATCCAGTGTTTATTCCAACAAGCATCCTCCTTAAGGCCCCTTGCCCATTTAGCCCATCCCCCCTCCCACAACCCTTCCAGCAACCCTCAGTTTGTTCTCTGTGTTTAAGAGTCTCTTATGTTTTGTCTCCCTCCCTGTTTTTATATTATTTTTGCTTCCCTTCCCTTATGTTCATCTGTGTTGTATCTTAAAGTCCTCATATGAGTGAAGTCATATGATATTTGTCTTTCTCTAATTTTGCTTAGCATAATACCCTGTAGTTCCATCCACGTAGTTGCAAATGGCAAGATTTAATTCTTTTTGATTGCCGAGTGATACTCCGTTGTATATATATATCACGTCTTCTTTATCCATTCATCTATTGATGGATATTTGGGCTCTTTCCATACTTTGGCTATTGTTGATAGTGCTGCTGTAAACATTGGGGTGCATGTGACCCTTCAAAACAGCATACCTGTATCCCTTGGGTAAGTACCCACTAGTGCAATTGCTGGGTCGTAGGGTAGTTCTATTTTTAATTTTTTGAGGAACCTCCACACTGTTTTCTAGAGTGGCTGCACCAGCTTGCATTCCCACCAGCAGTGCAAAAGAGATCCTCTTTCTCTGCATCCTTGTCAACATCTGTTGTTGCCTGAGTTGTTAATGTTAGCCATTCTGACAGGTGTAAGGTGGTATCTCCTTGTGGTTTTAGTTTGTTTCCCTGATGATGAGTGATGTTGAACATTTTTTCATGTGTCGGTTGGCATTTTTTCATCTGATGTCTTCTTTGGAGAAGCGTCTGTTCATGTCTTTTGCCCATTTCTTCACTGGATTATTTGTTTTTTGGGTGTTGAGTTTGATAAGTTCTTTATAGATTTTGATACTAACCCTTTATCTGATATGTCGTTTGCAAATATCTTCTCCTATTGCGTCGGTTGTGTTTTAGTTTTACTGATTGTTTCCTTCACTGTGCAGAAGCTTTTTATTTTGATGAGGTCCTAGTAGTTCATTTTTGCTTTTGTTTCCCTTCCCTCTGAAGACGTGCTGAGTAAGAAGTTGCTGCAGCTGAGGTCAAAGAGTTTTTTTGCCTGCTTTCTCCACTAGGATTTTGATGGCTTCCTGTCTTGACATTTAGGTCTTTCATCCATTTTGAGTGTACTTTTGTGTATGGTATAAGAAAGTGTTCCAGGTTCATCCTTCTATATGTCACTGTCCAGTTTTCCCAACACCATCTGCTGAAGAGACTATCTTTATTCCATTGGATAGTCTTTCCTGCTTTGTCAAAGATTAGTTGGCTGTATGTTTGTGGGTCCATTTCAGGGTTCCCTATTGTGTTCCATTGATCTTGTGTCTGTTTTTGTGCCAATACCATACTATCATGATGATTACAGCTTTGTAATACAGCTTGAAGTGCAGAATTGTGATGGACTTTGTTTTTCAGTATTTCTTTGGCTATTTGGGGTCTTTTCTGGTTCCATACAAATTTTAGGATTATTTCTTCTAGCTCTGTGAAGAATGCTGGTGTTACTTTGATAGGGATTGCATTGAACATGTAGATTGCTTTGGGTAGTATCGACATTTTAACAATATTTGTACCTCCAATTGATGAGCATGGAATATTTTTCCTTTATTGTGTGTCTTCTTCAATTTCTTTCATAAGCTTTCTATAGTTTTCAGTGTATAGATTTTTCACCTCTTTGGTTAGGTTTATTTTTATGGTTTTTGGTGCAATTGTAAATGGGATTGATTCCTTCGTTTCTCTTTCTGCCGCTTAATTATTGGTGTATAGAAATGCAACCGATTTCTCTGCATTGATTTTATATCTTGCAGTATTGGTGAGTTCATAAATCAGTTCTAGCAGTTTTTTGGTGGAATCTTTTGGATCTTCCACATAGAGTATCATGTCGTCTGTGAAGAGTGAACTTTTGACTCCCTCCTTGCCGATTTGGATGCCTTTTATTTCTTTGTGTTGTCTGATTGCTGAGGCTAAGACTTCCAATACTATGTTGAATAACAGTGGTGAGAGTGGACATCCCTGTCATGTTCCTGAACTTAGGGTGAAAGCTCTCAGTTTTTCTTCATTAAGGATGATAATAACGGTGGGTCTTTTGTATATGGCTTTTATGATTATGAGGTATGATCCTTCTATGCCTACTTTCTTGAGGGTTTTTATCAAGAAAGGATGCTGTATTTTGTCAGATGCTTTCTCTGCATCTATTGAGAAGATCACGTGGTTCTTGTTCTTTCTTTTATTGATGTATGATGTGTCACATTGATTGAATCAGCCCTATATCCCAGGTATAAATCCCACTTGGTTGTGAAGGATAATTCTTTTAATGTATTGTTGGATCCAGTTGGCTAGTATCTTGTTGAGAATTTTTGCATCCATGTTCGTTAGGGAAATTGCTCTGTAGTTCTCCTTTTTATGGGGTCTTTGTCTGGTTTTAGAACCGTCTTTTAGGAGTGTTATGCTTTAAGGTCTTACCTTCAAGTCTGCAATTCATTTGAGTTTATTTGTGTGTATGGTGCAAGAAAATGGTCACTCTTTTGCATGTAGCTTTACAGTTTTCCCCACACCATCTGTTGAAGAGACTCTTCTTTTCCATTGTATATTCTTGCCTCCTGTGTCATAAATTAATTGACCGTATACGTGTGGGGGTTTTCTGGGCTCTCTGTTTTATTCTGTTGGTCTATATGTCTGTTTTCATGTCAGTACCATACTGTTTTGATTACGGTAGCTTTGTAGTATAGTTTGAAATCAGGGCGTGTGATACCACTGGCTTTGTTCTTTCTCAGGATTGCTTTGGCTATTTGGGTTTTTTGTGGTTCCATGCAAATTGTAGGATTCCTTGTTAACTAGTTTGTGAAAAATGCCAGTGATATTTTGATAAGGGATTGCATTAAATCTGTAGATTGGTTAGGATAGTATGGGCATTTTAACAGTATTCTTCCAATCCATAAGCATGGATTATCTTTTCCATTTATTTGTGTCTATTTCTGTTTTTTTGGTAATAGCCATCCTAATGGTTATGAAGTGGGATCTTACTATATTTTTTATTTGCATTTCCCTAATGATTAGTCATATTGAGCATCATTTCTTGTGCTTAGCTACATCTTTGGAGAAATGTCTATTGAAGTTTTTTGCTCATGTTTGAATTGTGCTTTTGTTGTATTGTAGGAGTACTTTTATATTTTGGACACTAGTCTCATATAAGATTTTGCATTTATTTTCTTCCATTTTGTGACTGTCTTTTTACTTTGTTAGATAGTGTCCTTTGATGCACAAAAGCTTTAAATTTTGATGAAGTCCAATTTTTGTTGAACTGTTTTGTCATTGCCTGTGCTTTTGTTGTCATATCCAAGAAATCATTGCTGTATCCAGTATCATGAAGCTTCCTCCTTGTTTTCTTTTGAGAGTTTTATAGTGTTAGGTCTTAACATTTAGGTTTGATCCATTTTGAGGCAATTTTTGTATACGGTGTAAAGTTAGGGTCCAATTTCATTCTTCTGCTGTAGATATCCATTTCCCAGCACCATTTATTGAAAAGACTGCTCTTTTCCCATCAAATGGTCCTGGCACCCTTATTGATGATCATTTGACCATGTATCCGAGTGCCTGTTGATAGGCTCTCTGTTTCGCTGCCTGTTATTCCTAATCTTATGCCAGTACCAAACTGTTTTAATTCCTGTAGCTTTAGAAAGTTTTGGAATCAAGTGGTGGGAGTCCTTCAACTTTATTTATTTTTTTCAAGGTTGTTTTGGGTATTTGGGGTCCCTTGAGATTCTAAATGAATTTTAGGGTGGGTTGAAATTCAGGCCTTTAATATTTTTATATTTTGTGTAAGTATTTTCATTTATTAGACTGTAGCAAGAACACAACATATTTTAAGGTAAAATTTAGTAGGGGTGCCTGGGTGGCTCAGTCGGTTGAGCGTCCTGCTTTGGCTCAGGTCATGATCTCACCGTTCACGAGTTTGAGCCCCACATCGGGCTCTATGCTGACAGCTCAGAGCCTGGAGTCTGCTTCGGATTCTGTGTTCCCCTCTTCTGTCTCCACCCCACCCCTGCTTGTGCTGTATCTCTCTCTGTCTTTCAAAAATGAATAAACATAAAAAAAATGTTTTTAAGGTAAAATTTAGTACTATTACAGTTTTTCTCATATGTCTTTAAAATTTATCGAAAGTAATGGTAACATTTAAGTTCTTGCCTAACTTGAGTGCATCTTAAAATGATAGAAGATAAAATATATCTGGGTACATTTTCAACATTTATTGAACGTGCATTGTTGTTCTTTTATAGTATTCATGTAATATTCCAGCACCTGTGTGGCTCAGTCAGTTAAGTATCTGACTCTTGATTTTGGCTCAGGTCATGATCTCATGGTTCTTGAAATCAAGCCCTGCTTCAGGCTCCGTACTGACAGTGCGGAGCCTGCTTGTGATTCTGTCTCTGCCCCTTCCCTGCTGAGCTCTCTCTCAAAATAAATACACATGCTTTAAAAAAAAAAAAAAAAAAAAAAAAAAAAAAAAAACACATTTGTTGAACATGCGTACTTTCAATGTTGTGTTTTTATATTTAGTTAATTTATATAAGAGAAATATAGCATAGTCATTTCGAATGTTGTGTATTTTATATATGAACAGAGAATTTAAGTATTTTGATCAAAGTCACAGAGCAATAGAACTAAGATCTGAACACAGAGAGTATGAGCACTATGTTTACCTAAGTTTTACTGCTACTTAGGTTACCTGTAAATAAGCACTCTGGAAAATTTTAGGTTGTAATGTCATTTTTACTATCAGCTCACTCAGGCACTAACTTTATCACATCTGGGTATAATGCATTTCTTCCCACCCTCGCCATTAGGGCTGATTTTTTGCTTAATAACCTTATTGTTGTCATTAGCTGCTGACCAGTTGGAGTTGGCTTTTGGAGTTGATGGAATGTCTGCTTGATAATTTGGGTTTTAAGTGTATGACTAAACAAAACTTGAAAAGCTCCCTACATTTTTTTTCTGTGTAGATGTTTACCAGTAAATGAAATAGCCTAACTCAGATGATAGATGTTAATATTGAAATCACTTTTCACACTAGAAGTTAGTTTCTTTTTAACTTTAAAAAAATACATGTTTCCCTACTAGGTAATGAAATTGAACTTGTTTCTAAACTTTGAAAATATGGTAGCTAAGTAATTAATGACAACTTGGGGAGCCTTTCATTTCTCATTCTATTTTTTTTTTTTTTTAACGTTTATTTATTTTTGGGACAGAGAGAGACAGAGCATGAACGGGGGAGGGGCAGAGAGAGAGGGAGACACAGAATCGGAAACAGGCTCCAGGCTCTGAGCCATCAGCCCAGAGCCTGACGCGGGGCTCAAACTCACGGACCGCGAGATCATGACCTGGCTGAAGTCGGACGCTTAACTTAACTTAACTTAACTTAACGCGCCACCCAGGCGCCCCTCATTTCTCATTCTAAACGGAACAATCACAAGTAGAGCAGTTTTGACTGTCAGTAGTTTCAAAATTATTTAGCTCTATTTAGCATTACTCTTTGCCATTTGTTTTAAATTTTTTAGCCAAAAGACTATTTATATTGTATACAGTACAACATACACATTTGGTTGAATAACTTCATATATTTTTCTAGTAATAGACATTGTACTACTGGTGTGCTTCTTTGAAAATTATGAATTTAGATTGAAATAAAACAATTACCTTAATTCTGGCACATTCCAGAGAACAGTTTTCAGCCTGAATACTCCCCACAGTTATTTAAGCAAGTCTCTAAAAACTTCTTGCATATAAATTAGTTATTAGGTTTTAAAATGTAAACAAAATACTGTGAAGTTTTAGAGCTGGAAGACATTCCATGTATTTATTCTAGTTGAGTATTTTAGTTGAAAACCAAGTCAGAAAGATGAAAGGACAAACTCAAGCCCTTGGCAGATTAACTGGCTTGCCCAAGGGCATCCTCGTAAGTAAGGCGAGAACAAAGACTCGTGTCCAGGTGGCTACTTGTTCAATTAATTTAAAAATTTTATCATCATAGACTTAAGATTCTGCAAACATGGCTCTTACGAGCCATTTTAAGGATGGAAAATATATAGAACTTTGTCTTCTCTCACCACATGGGAAGTATTTGCATCTGAGATTTGACCAAATAGAGTTCAGTTTCGAAGTGTTTTTACATCAGCAAGGATATTCTACTAGAAATGTTTATTTGGACCAATGATAAATGGAATTTGGATGATCCTAATAGCTGGGTGGTTGGTGTGCATTTTTTCCCCCAGGTGTTGCTCTGTTGCCTTTTGTGGATGAGCGAAGGCTGCGAGCTGCTCTAGAAGAGGTGTACCCAGACCTCACTCCAGAAGAGAGTAAGAATTGTACTTTCACTTGATCTCAACATTGAGTCTATATCATACAGACTTTACATTTCCCTATGAAATTAGACTCTTCTTCCACTTGTCAAATTTCACATAAAGGCCTAAACCTTTGATGTTTTCTTTATAAGAAAAGTCAGCTTCTTAGAATTTATTATCCATAAATTGAATAGTAATTATAATTTTTTTAACTCACAAGTGTTTGTTAGATTTATTAAAAAGCAGCACTTCAAGAATATCCTTTGACTTTTTGGTTCTTGTATGATACGTACACACAAAAGTATTTTTCCATACTGGGTTGTATTAGTTTCCTCCATCCTCCTTCCCTTCATCTCCCCTCAATAACAGTTTGCTTGAAAAGTTAGATTCAAACACAGGTATTTTCTCTCAGATTGCTAACCTAAAATGTTATTTTATTACAAACAGTGGCATTTTGTCATTAATACTGGTAGTTAAAAGTATTGGGAAATTGGGAAGCTAGATTCTATTGGGAAATTTATTTAACACCAGTATGATAAACCTATAGAAATAATTTCTGTGTCAGCCATCCTTAGAATAGTCTTTGTTATCAGATGGTATAATTTGTTTGGGTTTCCTCATGAAATGGTTTTATATTTCTTAAAGAAAGCAAATGAGTTCTGTACAGATAACTTTGTCCCTTATCTTACAATACTATATTCAGATATCTTTTAGTGATATTTTTTTCCGATAGTCATTGATCTTTGAAACCTTATTGTCAAAAATTATTTTTCTTTTATAGAGGCTTCACACATTTTGGCCTATAACTTTTACATTATTTTTTGTAAACTTTATACTTAAGTTTTAAAAATTTAGGTGATTTCTTGGGGTACCTGAAAGGCCCAGTCGGTTAAGCATCTGACTCTTGATCTCAGCTCAGGTCTTGATCCCACGGTTTGTGAGATCGAGCTCTTTGTCAGCCTTTGCACTGACAGCAGCCTGCTTGGGATTCTCTCTCAAAATAAATAAACTTTAAAAAATAAAATAAAATTTAGATGTTTCATTTTCTCATAAAAGTTGTGCTTGCAGATGTAATTGTTTGATCTTTATTCTTTCCTTACTTTCCTCCCAGCTAAAAGAAACAGTCTTGGAGGCGATGTCTTATTTGTGGGGAAACATCACCCACTTCACGACTTCATTTTGGAGCTCTATCAGACAGGTTCCACAGAGGTATGGTCTCTTTTTCCATCATGAGGTGTTTTTAGACAGTGTTAATTATTTGATTAATCAGAAATGCATTTTTAAAATTTTGATAAAACAGAAACAAGTGTACCATTTTAACTTTTTAAAAACCCTTAAAAAGTGTGTGATTTTTTGGCATTAAGTCTGTGTATAGTGTTGTGCAGCCATCACCACTGTCCAGTTCCAGAACTGGGTATCCATTAAACAATATTAAATGATACATCTCCATTCTCCTCTCCTCTTACTTTTGGTAACTTCTATTCTACTTTCTGTCTAAGAATTCACCTGTTCTTGGTAACTCACATAAATGGAATCATGCAGTATTTGTCCTCTTGTGTCTGACTTACTTTACTTAGCTTAATGTTTTCAGGGTTCATCCATGTTGTAGCAGGTGTCAGAATTTCATTCCTTTAATGGCCATTGTGTGTATATACCACATTTTGTTTATCCATTCATCTGTTGATGGGAACTTGGGTTGTTTCCTCCTCCTGGCTTTTAAGAATAGTGCTTCTATGGGCATTGGTGTACAAGTAGATGTGTGAGTCCCTGCTTTCCATTCTTCTGGATATATGATCAAGAATGCATTTTTCCACAGCCAGTGGATGTACCTCCTGAACTGTGTCATGGGATGCAAGGAAAATTTTCTTTGGATGAAGAAGCCGTTCTTCCAGATCAGTAAGCATTCATTTGTGTAAATTGGTACAACTGGGAAGAAGTTTAGTTAGCATTTTGTCTTTGTTGCCTACATGTTTTATTTTCTAGTAATAGTGAGAAAACAAAACAACAGAAAACCTGCTGCACTATGAAAAAGACTTGGGGTGAGAGCCCAGCTCTTCAACCCAGTGGCTGTGTCACTGTTTATAGGGAGCCCTGGGGGTTCCTAAAGCCCTTTCAGGAGATCCATGAGGTCAAAATTATTTTCATGATAATACTAAGATGCTGTGATATATTTGCTTTTCTCACTCTCTTTCTCTCTTGAGTGTACAATGGAGTTTTCCAGAAACTGAATGTAGTGTGATAGATATCTTAGGAGATTAAATCAGAAGCAGATAAGAGAATCCAGCTATTAAGATAGATATTAAACCAGATATTAAAGAAATTTTCAGAAATGTAAGACAATGAGACTTCTCGTTATTTTTTTTTTCATTTTGTAAAATATAGTTTTTCATTAAAAATGTTATTTATGTTATAGGTTTATTGTTATCTTTAAATTAGTATTTTAGAAATTTTGTAGTTTTAATTTTTAAAAGGTATATATTGATAGACATAACCAATGTAAGCAAAAGCTTTTTGAGGTCCTTGATTTTTAGAAATGTTTTAAAGGGGTTCTGAGATCAGAGTTTGGGAATTCTTGGTCACAGAGTATGTGTATCTTCTTTTCTACATAATATTGGATGGTTTTCCAAAGTGATTACACTATTTTATAATCTCAGTGGCAGTTTGTGAGAGGTGTTGCTCTGCATTCCTGCAAACCTTTGGAATTGTCATCACCTTAATTTTTGTCAATTTAGTGGATGCCTGTTGGCTTACAGTTGCCTTTCTCTGATTACTAATGAAATCAAATGCCATATGGTATATTTATTAACCAGTTGGTTTTCTTCATTTAAAAAGTGCCTGTTCTATTCTTCTGTTTGGTTATTTGTTCCCCTGACGCCCCTTTTTTGATTTGTTTGTATCCTTTACAAATTCTGATAGGAGCCTTTTGCAGAAAATAGTTCTCTGTTAAGGAGATTACAAACAAGGAAGACAGGGTCCTTTTGAAAGCTATAATTGGTTATGTTGTTTTTGTTGGTACATTTTAATGAGTTCTCTTTCCTAAAGTAATATCTAACTTCCACGTATCCAGAAGGCTACAACTTAACTGTCTTCCTTGTCTTTAGAATAGTATGTTCTCCTGTCCCCATGTTACGAGATCTGGCACAGAACACTGCAATCAGGTAAGTCTTCCAAAATTCACATCATTTGACCAAAACACAGCTCTGTAACTTGCAAATAAGTCTAAAAAGACCTCTGAATCACAAGGAAATGGCAGCTATTAATCTACCAATGCTTTGAGATTCGAGAGTCCCTGTGTTGCAAACCTTGGAACAGAGCCTCTTGACTTTAAATTATGTATATTGTTAAAGTTACTGATTGAACAAGCTTGCTTCTCGGCTTTCTGGTTTCCCTTGACAACCTCTAATTCTTCCCGGATTAGTAAGTGGGAGGTAGAAAGTAGGAGTTTCTAGGAGTAGTTGTATGTAGGAGCAAACAGACCTCTACACCCCAGAGGCCCACACAGCTTCACTGTGTTACAACAGATTATTTTAATTATATTTACAGTTGTGGCTCTGCAGAGTTTAAAAACAAAACTATTACATCCTTTACTTTGGTTGAGATAGAATGATTTTATGGAAATTTTTACCAACAATTAATATACAAACTTAAAGGGCTAATTTCTGCTACCTGGAAAACTTACTTATATTTCATTTCTTGCATGATGACAGCATTTTCTGTGTGTAAAATATAATATGATTGTTTAGAATTAAAAACCAACAAATTACTATTTGCTTAATTAGTGTATGTAATTACTAATCTTGACAACAGGGTTTTTGTTACTATCATTTTCTGCAGTCTTCAGGCAGGACTAAGGCAAACACATCTTAGTGATTCGAGGATTTTGTAAAAGGCTGTGTGGGAAGACTATTTCCCACTCATACTATTTCTCTGATTCTTGGGAAACATTTTAGATTTATCATTATAAAGTGAAAGCATGTTCATTTTCCTATCCTTAATGGATTTAGGTAGCACCTGCAATTTTAGGAGGTATGTATGTATGTATTTATTGTGGTGATAGACTGAATGTGATGTTTTCTTTTTCTTTTTTCTTTTTTATAATATAATTTGTTATCAAATCGGTTTCCATACAACGCCCAGTGCTCATCCCAACAAGTGAGAAGGAGTTTTATTTAAAAAAAAAAACTGTCATGAATTTGGAAAATCTTTCTAGATTAGTTGCTTTTATTTATCTTTACGCACATGTTTTGTTTATCTTTACACATAATTTGTTCTAGCTCTTTGTCTTTGAGCTCTTCTGTTATGGGTGGAGTTAGAATTGTGAGCCAAGCTCTTGAGCCCTTCACACGAATAGTCTGGTTTGGGCAGATCCATTGAGGATGCTCTGTGTTCACCCTTGGGGTCTCTGCCTTGCAGTGGTGCTTCAGGTCATTTAATCCCACTGGATCCGTCTTCGGATTGTCACATGTTTGCTTGTGCTCCTCCGTTTTTCTGCATGTTTTCAAGAGCCTTTCTGCCCAGCCCTCTAAAAGTAGTTAACTTTACTTACTTGTCCAAGGGAAGAATTACAAAATTGACAAATCCTTTAGCTTCTGTTTGTATGGTGTTGTTAGTGTTGGTTGGTTATGAGCCTGAGGGGCCTTTGGTATTATTTGGTATCCATTATGTTCACAAGATTATCTGATGTATAAGATAAATTCCTACGTGTGTATTCAGGTACATGTTGAAAAAAGCTTCATAATAAAATTGATTTGAGTTAATTTCCTAGAGATTTGTGAAAGACCACATTAATTTTTACCTTATGAGGTAATTTTCATTGTTTCCCCTGAGGGGTAATGAGGTTGATCCAGTTTACTGCATATTTTTGTGTGTGTGTTTGTTTGGGGGCTTGTTGTTCATCCCAGTGTTGTGTTTGCTCTATAAGGGAAAATCTATGAATGCAGCCTCCAGTGCCAGTTGCAGTTATTTCTCTGTTTTGACTCCTGGCATCTTTTCCCTTCTCTGTTTGGGTGCATCTGGTATTCCATTCCACATCAGAGAAACCATTGAGTGTAGGTGGGTTCTTCCCATCGCATTGGTCTTACTTGTAGGAAAGTGTATGAGTAGGAAAGTGTAGTAGGAAAGTGTATGAGAGAGGTTGTTGAAGTGTTTAAATTCCTAGAAGGACCCTTCGAAAATAGAGGCGGCTGTGACCTAGGAAATCTTTTATTCTTTTCTAATTCTGATCCCATAAATCAGTCAGTATATTAGTAGCTTAACTTTGAATAGAACTGAGCTATCCCCTTTAATTTTCTTCATCCTGCATTTCACCATTGTAATTTGCTTAGCTGTAATATCTTTAGAATATTGTTTGTTAACTTTAAATATATAAAACCTCATAAGTATATACAACCTCATATGATTTTAAAATTAAAGGGAAGTTCTCTTCCACTGCAGCGGCACAATTTTCTGTTCTTCTGGAGTAGACACACACACACACACACACACACACACACACACACCTTTGTTTTACCTCACATTCAGTGTTCCATACTTCTTTGTCCAGTGCCTGTCACTTGTTCTCCTGGCTGATCTCTCTTTTCTGTCTCTGAGCAGTTGCCCAGACTCAGGAGCCTCTAGTTCTATATTACATTCCATGTGCTTAGCCTCTCATTCTACAATAATCCCTGTATCTATACCACTGTTCTGGAATTTTTTTCCCCTGTTATTTTTTATCCCTGGCTCTTCCCAGTGGGCCTATTTTGTAGGTTTTTATTTTTTCCTTTATTTTATAGTTTCTTCTCCTGAATTACTATAGTGACTTCCCAGCTGATTTATTTGATTCCACCTTCCCACTGACTCTGTTGGCATATGCTATAAGTCTTCTCTCTCTTAAAAGCACTACCAGTCCTCAGAAATCTTTGCTCTAGAGTGCCAGTGGAATTAAACTTTGCTTTGTCGAGGTCTGTCACAGTTTGGCAGAGCCATCGCTCTGTGCTTAAATCTACGCAGTTGCTCACAGACACCTCCCTCCTCCTTGTAACCATGCTCTTCCCATCACTATCACACTAACCTCTGTATCTTCCTCTCATTGTTTGGAATGCCCGTTCCTTTATAGCCTATCCTTCATAGCTTTTCTTCTGTTCTACAAGGTGATCTGTAGTTTACATAATCTTCTTGTGTGTTATTTTCATCAGCAGCATTTAGTTTTCTTTTTTTCTCATAGCACCTAGCATAGTTCTCAACCTGTGTAAAAGCCCAGTTGTTCATAGTGTTCATAGTGTCAAAGCCCAGTGTTTTACAGAGCCTTCCAGGAGCCCTTATTTCTTCAGAGAAGTGTTTCTCAAACTTTCTGTAGTCACCTTTGGATGAATCAGGCAAGGGATAGAGTGTTTTATCTCTTCAAGGAGGTTTTTTTTAAAATGTGAGTTTTTTAATGTAACTGTTACTACAGTGTCTATAATGCTTATGGCTGGCAAGCAGGTGATTTGAAATCAGAAGCCTAGAGGAAGAGGAGTATATACAGTTAGTCACAGACTTGATGGTGAAAACTCTTGGAAGGGTTTATCTTCCACTACCTGGTTAGCTACTTCTGACAGAATGTCAGAAAAGACATCTTAAGTCCTATAAACTCTTTAAGTGCTTTAAAATGTCAAGTATATGAATCATGAAGTTTTCCCTACAAGAACAGTTTGCATTGGTATGCTGATTTAGCATTAATTACAGAAGGTATCAGGGAAAGGTGGGGTAAAAATGGGGAGTGCAGGCAGTAACTTGACATTTAGAGTTTTCTGCTATCTTTGTGAAGTGTACTAGCACTCTCAAACAGTAATAGTACTTAAAATAGCATTTCTAAGGGTAATTCTTAAAGTGAATTGAGTTGGAAAGGGGTGTTGTACATTCCTTTCCCTTCCTGTTGAGACTTTGCTGTAGTATTTTCTTCTAATAGTGTCTAAAGTGCTACTTGTGATACAGATGAAAGCACTGCTCAGTTTTGTTATTTTCAACTATGCTTAAGTTTACCATTTTTATATTTTTGTCCTTAGTGTGTTTCTGATAACAGGTGATTATATGAAATAATAGGGAAGTTCCCTACCAAGGGAAGAGTCCATCATACTTCTCCTGGGGCAGGGCTTCTCAGTGGGTAGAAGTTTGTGCTAGATGAGTCAGCACGGTGCCACCTAGAAGTGGTGAAAAATAGTCCTGTTTACGGAATTAGATGAAGCTGGATGAAGCTGTGTACGTCTAAACACAGTTATCTTACCTTAGCTGGGCAGTCTGTTGAATGTATAAGCTGTTCTGTTAACTCATTTCCTCCCTGAAGCTGCTTCTGTCTTATCTCCCTGATACTGCTTTCCTTCCCCTGGTGCTCTCTACAGTTAAGCTCTTTTGTTTCTGGTGGTAGAAATTTGTCAGAGTAATCTGCATTTTTTCTTTATTATTTCTATTACTTTTACTTATATATTTTATTATAATAAAATAATTTCTATTATTTTAGTTTCTCTGTCTATAAGAATTTTAATTACTTACATAAATAAACCTGAAAAAAATGAAGGAACTTTAAAAGCTTGGATCTCAGTACAGTTCCCCTTTGGGACTTTGCCTAATGAGTTCCTGCCTCTTTACGTGTTTCTCTTTTTGGAAATGTTTGTTTAAGTTGTGGCTGATGTTATCACATTGGAAAAATACAGTTGAGTTGTGCTTTAGCTTCTTTTGTTCTTTAATTTCTAAAAATGTAATAGTTCTTAGTATATATTTTTGGGAACAAATTACTAAAAAAATATCTCAACCAGTGAAAGCTTAATTCATTTAGGAGAGAGTAAGTCTTCAAATTGTACTCAAAGGTCCAAGGGAAAAGAATGCTTTAATCTTTGAGGTCAAAAATAGTATCCCTTGTCCCTTCAATAGGGACCTCCAAACTTATTTTTAGATGCGCCCTTTCTGTCTCCTAATGGTTTGTTCCCTCCCTATTAAGTATATAGATCACTTTGTGGAGTTTGGCTCTGAGAGGAAATAGGGGAGATGTTGGAGATTTTTTTCCTATTACCTTGGAAATGTTTTCCCTTTTAGAGCATGAGCATGAAGGATGGATTTTTTTTAATGTTGATTTATTTATTTTGAAAGAGGGTGCAAGCAAGGAAGGGGCAGACACAGAGGGAGAGAGAGAATCACAAGCAAGCTCTGCACTGTCAGCACAGAGCCCAGTGACAGGCTCAAACTCATGAACCTCGAGATCATGACCTGAGCTGAAATCAAGAGTCAGGTGCTTAACTGACTGAGTCACCCAGGTACCCCAAGGATGGGATTTTTAAAGCAGTTTTATTGAGGAACAGTTGACATACAGTAAACTGCATCTTTCATAAATAAATGGATTTGTTTTCTCAAACACTGATTTCAGCTGTCTTACTAAATCTCTGATTGTAACCATTGTCCTTCAGGAGAGATTATCCCTGTGACCCTGGGGTTATCTCCTTACCTTTGCTGTTTCCTTCACTTAGCTTCCAGTCTTTCTGCACATGACTTGCAGATCTTCATCTCAAGCCCTCACCTCAATGTGTTTCCACTTGGCATTTCTTTTGTCTGCCCAGCATTCTCATCTCAAGCACACATTGAAGGCCCTTGCCTAGACTATGTTGAAGACCTTTTGGTTCTCTCCCTCTGCTCTCTGACACACTGTTGCCAGGAGGTTCTGTTTGAATTGCCTCCTTGATTATATTTACTCCCTCACTGCCTGAAGCAGCTTCATGTTGTGTTCAGTACAGCCTCCTGAGGACATTAACCCAGTTCAGGCAGCCTGTCTTCCTGCCCACTTCTGTTCACAAACTTTTTTGCTCCAGTCTAGCTCTTTCCAACTGAGATTCCACCTGGGAGTTAAGGCTTGAGAACTTAAAGCATTCATTGCGTGTAACAAGTTGGTTTGTGTCGTCCTGCTCCTTTAGAATGGAACTAGTTATGAATCTTTCTTGGGAGAATTGAGGATGTAATCACTCAGATCACTTTCATACAGCTGCTGTTCCAATTCAACTGAGCTATTCCTTGGTCCTGGGACCCCTTTCCACATCTTGGTTACATTTATTTCCTCTCTCATTTGGTAACCAGTCCTGTCCCACCTTATACCAAGGCCTCTTGGATGATGTTTTCCTTGGTCCCCTGTGAAAGAATGCTCTTCCCTCTTCTCCATACACACATGTTTGATCCCACACAAAGACATGTATGGAAGGCATGTGCATACAGATACTTTGACTCAGCATCTTTTCTGCACCTGTTGTTGCCTTTTCCACTTTTATTCCTTATGAAAATATTATTAAACATTTCTTATTTCCTTTAACAGAAGGGGAAGCAGGGTTGCTCCCTGGCCGCCATTTGTGCCCCCACACTACTCTGAGACCACGTGTGCTGTGGGAACTCTTAAAGCTTATTTGGTAAACTGCCGAAAAGCCCTGCTGACACAAAGATACCTGCTTTGAGACACTTTAGTTGCAAGTGTTGCTTTATTACCTATTTTCTGTCTTTACTTTTTACCTAGAAGGCCCTAATGAACTCCTGTACTTAACTACCATTTTCTCTGCCACCCTCTTAAACCTGTAACACTGCCCTAAGTTACCTTGCCCAGTAGAGAACATTTGAGATAAAGGTGGTTGCCAGTGAAGAGTGAGTTGTAAGAGGAATGGATTGAGTAAATGAAGTATTGTTCAGCTGCTCTTGAACTCCGCATTTTTATTATAAATGAAGTTATTTTTCTGTACTTAAAATATACAGTTAAATCCCAGTGCAACGAAAATAGACCCTAATAATATAAAGTGGCAGTATTTGAAGAAAAAAAAAGTTAGCTGTCTCAAATGTCAACCAGTTCAATAAAACCTTTTTGAATAAAACCTTTTTCAACTGATTGCAGTCATGGAGGAATTTTGGAAATACTAAAAAAACACAGAGAAGGAAAGGCGATGATAATACAGTGAACATCACTGATAACTTTCTGGTGAATATATGTCTAGTCTGTTGTATATGTATTTTCCCCATGTCAGTGGGTATTCTCTTACTAAATTTTTTGTAATGTCAATTGAGGATTCCGTTTTTAGGGAGAACCTTAGTTTCTTTAACCACTCCGCTATTACTCATACGTTTCGGTTGTAGTTTTTCAACATGAATACTAATGTTGTGAATATCCTTAGGTATAAACCTTGTATGTCTCCAGAGTCTTAACTGCTGTGTCAAAAGGAAAACTTGTGTACTTACCAGGCTTTGGGACACACTCACCCCACCAGAAAGGAAGCTTGATTAAGCTTATATTCACAGTCCAAGAGTACAGACTTATAAAATAAGTCACTCTGTAGTTTTCAAAGTGTGACCATTCCTGAAGGAAGAGAAACATCCTAATAGAGCATGATACAGGGTTTCAACTGGGAAATTTAATGTTTTTTTCTCCGTAGATTATTTGTGTTCACTTTCTGAGTTTGCAAGTGTTTCTGGTGGCATTTGCATCTTATTTTTGTGACAAGAGCTAATCTTCCCTAAGATGCTAGAGGGAAAGTCTTCGTCCTACACTAAACAGAATGAAAGGCGTTTTTTGAAATTTTTTGTTGTTGCAAACCTCTTCCATCTATCTCCAGTATCCTGTTGGTATTTCTCGAGAGTTGAGGCAGGGTCTGTCCTTTGTCTGTGGTCACCCACAGTTAGTGAGAGCATGGCTCTTCCCACACAGAAAATTACATGAAGGCTGTGTACTAGCGATTAGTTTGGGGAAGGAGATATTCAGCCATTTGATGAAACTATCAGTTAAAAGAATTTTTGGAGAAGACTTTGGAATTTTAATTACTCTTTTTTTAAACATGAAAAGTACCTCAGTTTAAAATAGTTAAGCCAAGGTAATATTAAAATCACTAAATTGTGTTTTGCTCTCTTCTAGTATTAATTTTAAAGACCCACAGTTTGCTGAAGACTACATTTTTAAAGCTGTAATGCTTCCAGGAGCAAGGTAACAGCGATGTGGCTATTAAATATAAACTATCTAGTTTTATTTTGTATGAACAATGTTTATCCCAGTACTGAATATTGTATTTTCAAATGGTCAGAAAACCAGCACCAGTACTGAAACCAAGTGACTGGGAAAAGTCCAGCAATGGACGGCAGTGGAAGCCCCAGCTTGGCTTCAGTCGGGACCGGCGGCCTGTCCATCTAGATCAGGCTGCATTCAGGACTTTGGGGTGAGTGGTAGGTTGCTATCCTTTGTATATTTTGCTGTTTTGGAATCATTCACAGGCATTAGGTCAATGTTTATGTCATAAATACTTAAGCCTAGTTGGCAAATATTTTAATGACTTTGATGCTTTTATGCTTTTCTTCATTTTTTAAAATTCACTTCCGTTTCTTTGGTATATGTATTATGCTTTATGTATTGCTTGAGAATTCTGTTATTTTCCCTTAAGAGGTTTTGCTGTCTTTCTGACAGTTATTTCAAAGGAATAAAACATTTTCTTTACCCTCAAGAAAGTTTTAGCTGAATTAATATGCGGCAGAATCTGTTTAAAGTGTTACTCAATATATTACCATATATGTAATGCGTAATACATAACAAGTATGTAGTATGATACATGATCAATACAATAACTCTTAACTTTGATCCAAATTCCTACTCCTTGGAATTTGTCCTGAGAAAATAATTTTAGAGAAGTATAAAGTTATATGCCTTTATACTTAAGGCATATAAGTATATGCCTTATATGCCTTATATGCCTTTATAGTTAATCTCTAATGAATTGTTATCAATAATAGTAATACCCAATGAGAGGAATGGTTTAGTAAACTAGAAGATGTCACCATGGTATTCTGTAGGTGTACATATTATAATTTTGCAGACTATGACAACTATAGGGTAATGTTTGATATAATCGAAAATAGCAAGATACAGAGCAGCAATGTATACAGTGATAGCAACAGCATGGGTCCTTAAGGACAAAACTGAAATATGATACAAAAAAGAAAAGTAGACTAACTTTTTGCATGAAGTAATTAATATATTAATTTAGTAATTAGTAATTAAGTAATTAATAAATACCTAAATAATTACCAATTAAGAATCTTGGTGTGGCAAATGAACATATTCTGTCACCATTACTATCCGTGGTACTGTTTTGAACTTTAATTATAAATCTTTTAAGGTTGTGTTCTCTTAATCACATCTAGTAGTAAAGAGACCACTACTAGCATTTATTTAATTTGTGTCAGCTATGATGTGGTGGCTAGATCTATAATTTGTTTTCTGGTTGGTGGGGTCCTTTTACAGCCATGTTATGCCAAGGGGCTCAGGGGCTGGCGTTTACGGCAATGCTGCACCACCACCTGCGACCTATCAGGGAAACTTATACAGGCCACTGTTGAGAGGACAAGCCCAGATTCCAAAACTCATGTCAAGTAAGTTTTTATTAGTTGATTATTTTACATGCTAAGTTAAATATTACAACAAAGGTAAACCAACCTAATCTCATTGCTAAAAAGATTTATCAGGGCAGAGATAGTGGACTTAAAAAACATAATTTAGGGGGCGCCTGGGTGGCGCAGTCGGTTAAGCGTCCGACTTCAGCCAGGTCACGATCTCGTGGTCCGTGAGTTCGAGCCCCGCGTCAGGCTCTGGGCTGATGGCTCGGAGCCTGGAGCCTGTTTCCGATTCTGTGTCTCCCTCTCTCTCTGCCCCTCCCCCGTTCATGCTCTGTCTCTCTCTGTCCCAAAAATAAATAAACGTTGGGAAAAAAAAAAAAAAAACAAAACATAATTTAGGAGAACTGTAAGAGAATGCTTCATTTAAATTTTGAAGATACTTTTATCTTGGCGGTGTATAGCTAATTGAATAATATGAACTGGATTTCTTATTTTCATCTGTAACTCTACTAGAGTGAACGTATGCAGAAAGAAATATGTGGAGAGATTGGCTACTTACTTCATTAATACAAGTATTGGGGCAGTTAAATCAGATGCTACATATGGAATTGCAACCTCTTAATCGATTGAAAGATGACAGTATCCTTTTCTCACGATGCATATTGTATCTCAGGATTCCTTAGGATAAAGCCAGGCATTGCTTTAGGTAGTAATACTCCTTTAACTCTGGTTCTGTGAAAATCTTGGCCTTTCCCTAACCCCTGGTAACCAGTTTTGTGCACAGAAGTGGTCCGGAAATGTTACCCATTGAAAATAGTTACATCGCATTTGAATTGCAGTGGACAGAGGGAAGAAAGAGTTAAAGGTTAGACTTTTCATAGATTCTGTATTAATTTTAAACTGTATTCCCATATTGTTTTTTTTTTTCCAACGTTTATTCATTTTTGGGACAGAGAGAGACAGAGCATGAACGGGGGAGGGGCAGAGAGAGAGGGAGACACAGAATCGGAAACAGGCTCCAGGCTCTGAGCCATCAGCCCAGAGCCCGACGCGGGGCTCGAACTCACAGACCGCGAGATCGTGACCTGGCTGAAGTCGGACGCTTAACCGACTGCACCACCCAGGCGCCCCGTCATATTGTTATTTTTGAGTTCCATGGTTGTGTTCGTTTACCAAGAAAGTAGAAGTCATGTACCAGGTTCTCAAAACCATTTTCTTTGTAAGGTCATTCCTAGTTGTCTGGTTGCTACCCAACCAAACAATGGCAGCATGGCAGCAGGGGGATTTGACTGTAGCAAGATGCTAACATTTGTTAAATCTAAGTGTCATTCATTTGTTTCTTTCTGAATGCTTGAAATATTTCATGAAAATTAATTAACAAAAATAGAGGGAGCTGCTGTAAGAAATCTTTTTCAACCGAAGTTGTAGGGGTGCCTGGGTGGTTCAGTTGGTTAAGTGGTTGAGCACCCGACTCTTGGTTTCGGCTCAGGTCATGATCTCATGGGTTCAGGAGTTCAAGCCCAGATCAGGGTCTGCGCTGACAGCACGGATGGAGCCTCCTTGGGATTCTCTGTCTCCCTCTTTCTCTGCCACTGTCCCATGTGCGTGCTCTCTCTCTCTCTCTCTCTGTCTCTCTCTCTGTCTCTGTCTCTCTCTCTCAAAAATAAATAAACATTTAAAAAAATGTTTAAAAAAAAGTGGGGGGGCGCACCTGGGTGGCTCAGGTGGTTAAGCGTCCAACTTCTGCTCAGGTTATGATCTCACGGTTCATGAGATAAAACCCTGCATTGGGCTCTGTGCTGACAGCTCAGAGCCTAAAGTTGCCTTGGATTCTGTGTCTTGCTCTCTCTCTGCTCCTCCCCAGCTCACACTCGGGGTCTCTCTCTCCTTCAAAAATAAACATTAAAAAAAATTTTTTTTAAGTAAAAAAAAAAATCAATCTTGGAGTTGTCAAAGAAATACCAGATTAATGTGAAGATTGTTGCGAAGTATTTATGATATGTGCCTACCACTGTTTGCATGCTAATTATAAACCCATATTTTAACCTAAAGCCCACCCAGATTTTCCTAATCTAGTATCCAGGAAGAAATGGGTTCTAAAGGTGTCTCTCTCAGAGCCCTCTGTGTTCAGTGTATTCTCTCTGTCTTTCTCTGTATGCTGTGTGGCTTGACATTGAATGGAGCATTATTAGACTCCATGAAAACCATGGAGTTCAGCGGTTTTATTCTATTTAATGAACACAGAAGGGGTACAGAATATTTTTTTTTTTTTAATTTTTTCAACGTTTATTTATTTTTGGGACAGAGAGAAACAGAGCATGAACGGGGGAGGGGGCAGAGAGAGAGGGAGACACAGAATCGGAAACAGGCTCCAGGTTCTGAGCCATCAGCCCAGAGCCTGACGCGGGGCTCGAACTCACAGACCGCGAGATCGTGACCTGGCAGAAGTCGGACGCTTAACCGACTGCGCCACCCAGGCGCCCCCAGAATATTTTTAATGGGTCTTGTGGGGATCTGCTTGGTGCAGTAATTTACTTAATTCCTTTCCCCCCAAGATTCAGCAAATAACATTTCTGTATATTTCCATATATATATTATCAAGCCATGCCACATACAACAAGAGTCTCGTCCCTTTGAAAGAGCTATCTATGCCCTGAAATTTTACTAGTAAATGCTGAAAGCACATCCAGCTTATTGGTTTTTTTTTAATGTTTATTTTTGAGAGAGAGAGAGTGCATGTGCTTGCTCATTTGGGAGCAGGAGAGGGGCAGAGAGAGGGAAACAGAGAGTCCAAAGCAGGCTCCAAGTTGTCAGTACTAAGCCCAATGCAGGGCTTGATGGGGACTGAACTCACATACCTTGAGATCATGACCTGAGCATAAGTCGGATGCTTAACTGACTCAGCCACCTAGGCACCCCTCCGCAGTTAAAGCCAGCTGTTTATTGACACATTCCTTGCCAGTTCCTTTTATCTAATGGCTCTTCACCATGCACTTCTATCCATAATGGTATCACAGCTTCCAGGTGGGGAAAAAAATTGAGACACAGAATGCTAGAGCCAAGTATAATCTCCGTAGGTTATTTCTCAAGATGATGGTTATGTGGCATTCCTGAGGTTGTTGCGTCTAGTAAACTTTGAGAGATTTGGAAAGAGGTTTGAGTAGCAAAGGTAAAAGCATGTGTTCTCCATTATGCAGCTTCCTTCCATTTCATGTTTCCTAAGGCCCAGTCACTGGGCTTGCTGCCACCATAATCACCCAGCTACTTACTTAACACCTTTTAAAGTCTTTTTTTTTTTTTTTAACTTGATTTATTTTGAATACATAAATTACAGTAAAACCTTAGTTTGCGAGTATAATTCATTCCAGAAACATGCTTGTAATCCAAAGCACTTTGTATATCAAAGTGAATTTCGAGAACCATTTGCTCAGTTGTGATCATGTGACATTCAGCATCACGTACTACTCGTATCAACTACTCATTTTATCAAGTTAAAATTTATTGGAAATGTTTGCTTGTCTTGCAGAACAGTTGCAGAACAAGTTACTCGCAATCCAAGGTTTTACTGTATATCAATACCGTGTGACATGAGTTTGATGTGCTAGTTGTATTTTTTTCAAATATATGTCAAAATGTCAAAATAAATACATAACTGTAAAGACAAAAAGCTTGTTCACAGACCCCCAGAAATTGATTGTGTGTATCACTCATGGTATATACACTTTGGGAAATGTTGCCTAGATCTTTTAGGGAATCCTAGGCCCACATGAGAATCTGTAAACAAAACATGGATTCCCTTCACAGAAAATCACTCACTCAGTGTGCAGTTTGTATAAATCTGAGTGCTTCATTCTCAGGTCCCCTATCAGTCTGCAGAATTCTTCTCCAACAGTAAGAGAAAGAAGGAAGTCAGAAAGTTCTTTTATTTATCAGGGTCACACCAGAGGCAGAGAATTTCATGTCTTTTGGGGCCTGCAAGTTTATAGTTCTTAGTTTGCCTTCTTTAGGAACAGTTACCTCTTACCAGCATCTGTGCATTTTACTTCAAATAGTGGGGTCACCTCTCCCTTTTTACTACTTTGAGTAACTCCTCATTTGCCATTGTTACAGTTCTTATGAGATCTAATTTGTTTATACTTAGAGACTTTAATTAGAATCTATTCCAGTTAGTCTCTATTTTAATTACATCATTAAAAATGGGAAATAAGTTTTATAAAGTAGGGATTGACTTAGAGCAAGACACAAGTGGCCCTCTCTGTGTGGTGACTTGTAACATTGAGCTACCTGAGGATTAGTGCTGGAACTCTATACTTAACATCTTTTCAAAGGGGATGGGAATGGTAGGAATGAAAACGTTTATGGGAAAAAAATCAGGAAGAATACGCTACTTAAATTGAGCCTACAGTGGGGAATTTGGGCTTAGAAATACACAGCAAAAAGTTAGGTGGTATTAAGCTTAGAATAACTGGTACAAAATTCCAGGAGCATAATGGGGACAGATTACAAGGGTGGAGAGGCTGGTTTTTTCCTCCATATTTGTAGTGGCATTTTAAATGAATTTTAACTGTAGTTCTTGTTAATTAAAATGTGGCAGATAATAAAACAGACTCCCATAATCCCATGATCCTGCCAATTTTAAAGCAGTGATTTTTTTCATTATATTCTTCTTATGTGTAATTTTTGAAAATTGGATAATCATACATGTATTTTCACATATTTTTTTTATTAAAATGTAACATATAAAGTTCTGAGTCACAAGTGTACAGTTTGATTAATTTTTATGAAATGAACACACTCATGTAATCACTACCCTGGTCAAGAAGTAGAGGGGTGCCTGGGTGGTTCGGTTAATTGAGTGCCTGACTCTTGATTTCAGCTCAGCTCCTGATCTCACAGTTGTGAGATCCAGCCCTGTGTGGGGTCTGTGCTGCATATGGATCCTACTTGAGATTTTCTCCCTCCCACCCTCTGCTCCTCCCCTACATGTGTTCTCTCTCTCTCTCTCTCTCTCTCTCTCTCTCTCTCTCTCTCTCTCT